GTAAGCAAGGGAATCCAGTTGTACATGCCCACCACCCATAGCTGGGTGGGATGAGGTAACCTGTCCCATTCCAGTGGTGGACTTTTTTACATAAGCGTTTGTGAGAAGGGGTCATTTTTCCAACACAAGTTCCTTGCCCTGTAACAGATTGTAAAGTGGGACGGGGCCGGTGCACTGCTGCCAGTGGCAAGCTGTTGGCTCAGTTTCTAGAGTAAAATTATCTGGAAGGGCTATTCCTTCATAATAAGGGGGCTTTACATTTAAACATAGCCAACAGGATTCAGTGAGGTCGGGCCTGGACTTATTTAGCACTTGGTAGGTTTTAGTGAGGATATCCCAGAGTGGGGGTTCAGAGTCAGCTGTTTTTAAATCTGTAGTGTCGTTATTATTTAAATCTGATTGCCAGATAGGGTTTGGTCCTACTACTATTGGCTTTTCAGTATGAACTGCATATACTACTTTTAAGGTGAAAATACTTTCTTTGGTCTTACCTTGGGGGGAGTATATTCGTATGCCCCATTGTTTTCCAAGTTCCCACCCTTGTGTAGCCATACCCTTAGCGGTGAAGGTTATGCTTATTGGGTCACAGCAGGGAGATCCTTTTTGATGGCAAGGGGGGGGGGTTCTTTTTTTTTCACCTGTATGTAATCCCCCTGTCTTGGGACCTCCCACCAGATCTCTCTGGTAGAGACACATTCCCACATCCCACAGAAATAAGCCTCCTCTCCCCCACATTTGTCCTTAAAATGTTCTGGACATATGTAGAAACAGTCTGGGTAAGGGTAAGTATCTACAAGTTCATCTATGTCTACCAAAAGTTCAGGGAACCATGTGCCTCGTGGGTGGATGCCTGAGGTCTGATTAGCAGTGGTTCCTGTAAGGGCATTTATGATCACCCAAGTTACATTTAAGGGTTGGTGCAAATCGGGGGATGATGTACACACAGGTAGTAGCAGTAGCATTAACAGGGTGCTGGCAAGGAGCACCTCAGCTTCAACTTTAGAGGATTGTCCTCATCCTGTCAAGCTTCCCATCGTGAAGTGAAGTCTCCCTTGTCTGCCCAGGATCTGCAAGTTGGCATGCGTGTGATGCACCCAGGAGGCGATGCCGTCCACTTTGAGAGCGGTGGGGGTTGTTAGGGTTACAACATAAGGTCCCTTCCACCGGGGCTCAAGTGTTTCTTGATGGTGCCTTTTCACTTATACCCAGTCTCCAGGTTGGAACCTGTGAGGTTCAGGAACTGGGCCAGCTGTGTAAGTGGCCCGAAGAAGGTTCCAGTTTTCTTTTTGCACCTGCTGATAACATTGAAGGGAAAGGAGGAAGTTTTTATCATTTGTACTTGTTACCACATTGTTATGAATATTAGGAATAATAGGAGGGGGTCTTCCATATAGGACTTCATAAGGGGTAAGGCCTAGGGTGTAGGGGGGAGTTTTTAACCCTATATAGAGCAAAGGGGAAGAGAAATATCCAGTCTGCGCCAGTCTCAAAAATGAGTTTGGACAAAATTTCCTTCAAGGTTCGGTTCATCCTTTCTACCTGTCCTGAACTTTGGGGCCTATAGGCACAATGTAATTTCCAATTAATGTTCAGGAGGGAGGCTATTTTTTGCTGTACCTGGGAGATAAAAGCCGGGCCATTGTCAGACCCTATTTGAGTGGGGAGCCCATACCTTGGAATAATGTCCTCCAGTAGACTTTTGCTTACCACAGCAGTCGTCTCAGTCTTGGTGGGGTAAGCTTCTACCCATCCTGAAAAGGTGTCTATAAAAACTAAAAGGTATTTATATCCATATTTTCCAGGCTTTCCTTCGGTGAAATCTGTTTTCTAGTAAGTTCCAGGTCTGGTTCCTCTTTCTTTCAAACCAGGAGGTCCTATGGTAGCTTTAGAATTTATTAATTTACATGTTTTACAATCTGCAGTAACTGCTTGTGTTTTGGCTTTTAGACTGAAAACCTTTAGAGGACTTTTCCGTAATAGTTCTTCTATTTTCCTTGGTCCCATGTATGTGTTGCAGTGAATTTGTCGTATTAGGTCCAAGCCAAGCTTATCTGGGAGGATTTGTCTTTTATCTTGTGTATAATACCACTCTTCCTCTCGGTAGTGTAGGGGAACTTTTTGCTTTATCTGCGCCAGATCTTCTTCAGTGTATTCTGGATTAGGTAAAGTAGGTGCAGGTATGGTAGGTAATTGTGTCACTAGGGTTAATGTCTTTAGATAGTGCAGGAGAGCTGCTTCCCGTGCAGCTGTGTCTGCCCGACAATTATTTCTTGCCATTGGAGTTTGGGGTTTCTGATGCCCCAGACAATGTATAATGGCTAGTCTCTTGGGTAGCCATAGGGCCTGAATTAGGTCTAAAATCTCTTGTTTGTTTTTGACAGTTTTTCCTTCTGCAGTTAGTAGCCCCCTTTCTTGGTATATAGCTCCGTGTACATGTGCCGTAGCAAAGGCATAGCGGCTATCAGTGTACACTTTTAGTCGTTTGTCCATGTCCAACCGAAGGGCTTGTGTTAAAGCTATAAGTTCTACTCTTTGAGCCGACGTGCCGGGAGGCAGAGGCTCAGCCCATACTACTTCAGTCTCTGTTGTCACTGCCACCCCTGCGTACTCTGTTGCCATCTTTGATGAAACTGCTGCCATCCGTATACTGGGTCTCATCTGCTTGTGGTAAAGGCTGGTCTCGGAGGTCATCTCGGATACAATGGACTTGACTCAGGATTTCAGTGCAATCGTGGAGAGGCTGTGTTAAATCTGGATCAGGCAGCAGGGTGGCTGGGTTGAGGGCGGCGCTGGAACTGAATCGAACTCTTGGGGGGTTTAACAACAAAGCTTGATAGTCAGTTAATCTGGCATTTGTCAGCCACCGATCAGGTGGTTGTTTAGTACACCTTCAACAGCGTGTGGTGTGGTCACCATTAGATCTTGGCCCAGAGTCAATTTATTTGCATAACTAGCAAGGCTGTAGCGGCTATGCTGCGTAAGCAGGGCGGCCATCCTGCTGCCACTGGGTCTAGTTTCTTTGACAAGTAAGCTGCTGGTCTCTTCCATGGTCCTAAGGTTTGAGTTAGCACTCCTTTTGCTATTCCTGCTTTTTCATCTACATACAAGTGGAAAGATTTTGTTATGTCCTGTAGGGCTAAGACTGGGGCCCGTAAAAGGTCAGTCTTTATAGTTTCAAAGGCTTGAGTCATAGTCTCAGTCCAGTCTAGGGGTTCCTGGCCCCGGGTTGCCTCATACAGTAGCTTTGCCTTTTCAGCAAAACCCAGAATCCTTAGTCTGCAAAACCCTGCTGTCCCCAGAAATTCTCTAACCTCTTTTCGGGTCTTAGGTATGGGTATTTTTAGAATAGTCTCTTTTTTAGAGTCCGATAACCATCTTTGTCCCCCCTTGAGTATGTAACCCAAGTAAATAACTTGAGTTTTGCAGATCTGGGCCTTTTTGGCTGATGCTCGGTACCCCTGGTCCCCAAGAGTTTTTAGTAATTCCTGGGTAGCCTGTTGGCAATCTGCCAGGCTATCTGCTGCTATCAGGAGGTCGTCTACATATTGAAGTAAACTGACCTTAGGGTTATTTCTCTGGTACTTACAGAGGTCTTCACGTAAAGCCTCATCGAAGTTCATTGGGGAGTTCTTGAAACCTTGGGGCAACCGAGTCCAGGTAAGCTGTCCATTGAATCCATCCATGGGGTCACACCATTCGAATGCAAACATAGGCTGACTTATAGGGGCCAAAGGTAGGCAAAAGAAAGCATCTTTTAAATCCAAAACAGTATACCATTTCTCAGTGGCTGGTAGAGTGCTTAGTAAAGTATAGGGGTGGGTCCTCTGGGTCTATAGGGGTATATGTACGATACGCTTCTAAGAGGTGTTCTAAAAAGGCCCCAGGTGCCTCCTCCTTCTCCTGTCTTACATGACTGACTTTAGCCAAATTTGTAGGTTTCTGAGCTGTTGCTCAGAGACCCCCATGAGGATCTGGTGATAAACTTTGATTCTCTCTTTACCTTCAGGAGTGTTATAATCCCAGTCTGGGCGGGATAAAGGAAATTTTTCTGCAATTCTCTCTGGGTTAGAGGTAGGATTCCCCTCATCTCCTGGAACCAGCTTCCGGGCCTCTGTCAGGATCCTCGCTTTTTCCTCTGTGGTGAAAAGAACCTGGAGAAGCTGACCGCAGTCCTTTCATGTGGGGGCCTGGGTAAAGAGAATTGAGTCTAGCAGATTAATCAAGCCACTGGGTTT